GGTGGGGGGAGGCCCGGGTTAGGGAGGCCTGGGGTGGGGAGGCCTGGGCCCGCCCCACCAACTGCTCTGAAAAGCGCTGTGCCTGAGCATCTTGACCATCCTTCTTGGGGCAGTTCATTCAACCAGTGTTTGTCAACACCTACTGTGTGCCGCACTGTCTTAGGCCAGGGGACAGCAGCGGGGAGGTGGTCCTGTCCTCACAGGATGCTGGGAGGGAAACAACAAAGGGGACAGGGCAGGGACCTTTGGGATGGATGGCTCCTGTGTGAGTCGGTTTCTGTTTCTTATAACAAAATACACTGAACTGGGTAATTTGTAAGAAAACAAAATTTATTGCTTGCAGTTTCAAAGGCTGGGAAGTCCAAAGTCCAGGGAACACAACTGGTGAAGGCCTTGGTGGTGGTGACAGTGACCCAGGGGTCTCACATGGCAGAAAAATGGTGGAACAGAGAGACTTGCTGCTCTCCTTTTAAAGCCCTCAGAACTGCGCCCCTGATCACCGTTATTAATCCATTCACTACTGCACAGTCCTACGATCTAATCACCTCTTCAAGGCCCCTCCTTTCAATTCCCATAATAGGACTTCTCCCCTCCTTACACTTTCACATTGGGGACCAAGCTTTGGGGGGACATCAGTCCACAGCAGCCAGGCAAGGCCTCTCTGAGGGGAGGGCCCTGGAGACATCTGGGGAGGCACACCAGGTGAAGGGCACGGCCCGTGCAAAGGCCCTGGGACAGGATGGAGCCTGGCATGTGGGAGGAACAGCGAGGAAGCCGGTGTGGCTGGAGCAGAGTGAGTGAGGGGGAGAGAGGCAGGGAGGGGAAGGAGGGGACGGGGCAGGCTGTGCAGGGTCCTGTGACCCCAGGGAAGACTCGGGCTATTAACCAGAGGGAGGTGGGAGCCATGGAGGGCTGTGGGCAGATGAAGGGCGCTCCCAACTCGGTGCTCACAGACACCCTCTGGCGGCTGCAGGGAGAATAGACAGTGGAAAGGGCTGGGAGACCAGAGTGGAAGGGAGGGCGCTGGAGCAGGAGGGATGCTGGGGACAAATGCTGGGGGTTGACGTTGGTGACAGATGCTGGGACAGATACTGGGATGGATGGTGGGACAGATGCTGGGGACGGATGCTGGGGCGGATGCTGGGGATGGATGCTGGGGCGGATGCTGGGGCGGATGCTGGGGCGGATGCTGGGGATGGATGCTGGGAACTGATGCTGGGGACGGATGCTGGGGCGGATGCTGGGGACGGATGCTGGGACGGATGCTGGGGACGGATGCTGGGGCGGATGCTGGGGATGGATGCTGGGGGACGGATGCTGGGGCGGATGCTGGGGCGGATGCTGGGGACGGATGCTGGGCCCTGCCCCAGGGAGGGGCATGGAGGGGTAAGCAGTGAGAGGTTCTGAGGATTTTTAAAAATACCTTTTTAAATGAACTATAATATGTATACAGTATAGTGCACAGATGGTTTAGTGTATGCAGCTCAGTGAACTTTTTAAAATTACAGTAGAAATCTCATAAAAGTAATTTTTTATGAGGGGATCACAACCCTCGGCACAGTGTGGTCCGCACCACGCTCAGCCAGCGAGTGCACCGGCCATCCCTGTATAGTATCCGAACCTGCGGCCTCAGCACTACCAGCGCCACACTTTCCCGAATGAGCCACGGGGCCGGCCCAAAAGTAACTATTTTAAATTGATCAACTCAGCGTCATTTAATGCCTTCTCAATGTTGTGCACCAACTCTGTCTAGTTCCAGAACATTCCATCAGCCCCAAAAGGAACCCCTGTCCCCATCAGCAGCCAGACCCCATCCCCCCGCCCCAGCCACTGGCACCCACGAATCCTTTTTCTGTCTCTGTGTGTTTTCTCTGTTTTTATTTTTTTAAATTTTTTCTTTTTATTTTTCATTTCTACACTTTCTATGTGCTTTGGCCTATTCTGGACATTTCATATAAGTGGAATCACACGTAGTGTGGCCTTTTGTGTTTGGTGTTTGTCACTGAGCGTGACATGCTCAAGACCATCTGCACAGTAGCGTGTGTCAGAGCCTCGATCCTGTTCGTGGCTGAGCGATGTTCCACTGTGTGGATGGACCGCGCTGTGTCTGTCTATCGGCTGTTTCTACGTTTTGTCTGTTGTGAATAGTGCTGCTGTGGACACTAACACACAGGTTTTTGTTGGAGTGACAGTTTTCAAGCTTTGGGTATACCTAGGAGTGCAGTTGCTGGTCATACACCAGTTCTGTGTGTAATTTTTTTTTTCCTTTTTTTGTCTTTTTTACTGACCGGCAACGGGATCGCAACCCTCGGTGTTGCGCCCGCACCGTGCCCGGTCTCCACATGGGATCCGAACCCTCGGCGGGAGCGCCACCGCACTCCCAAGCGGCGCACTCTCCAGTGCGCCACCGGGCTGGCCCCACTGTGTGTAATTTTTTGAGGAACCGCCGGCCTGTTTTCCGCAGCGCTGCACCGTGTTGCACTCCCGCCGCGGCGAGGGAGGGTCCGGCTTCCCCACAGCCTCATGCACACTTGCGGTTCCCATCCCCCTGGGTACAGCCGTCCTTGTGGGTGTGAAGTGGCATCTCGCTGCAGTTTTGATTTGCATTTTCCTGATGACGAATGACATCAAGCAGGTTTCAGTGCTGTTGGCCATTTGTGTATCTTCTTTGGAGAAATGTCTACTGAGTCTCTTGCTCCTTTTTGATTGGAGGGTTGTTTCGTTGCTGAGTTAGAAGAGTATCTTGTGCGGTCTGGATATTTGGCAGCACAGTGAACATTTATAAATAAGCTCAGCAAACAGCACCAGATGAAAGCACTGCCCATGACAGTCCCCAAGGCCCTCCCCGTCCCCCCCAGATGTCCCCATCGTCACTCCCACAGCAGAGATTCCTGTTACCTGTCCCTGAACTTCTCATAAGTGGGGTCGTGTGGCGTGTTCGTCTGTGTCCAGCTGCCTGTCCCAACTCCAAGTGCTGAGGTTCGTCACGCTGTTTTGAGCTGCGTTCAGTCTTCTCTCTGCTGGGAAGGTTCTAGGCATTTGGGGGGGGGCCTTCTGGATTCACTGGCGGGCGGGATTGAGCAAGGCTGAGAGAAGGGTTGGCAGGGTCCCACAGGTCCCATCCCTGTGCAGCCTGGAGGCGTCACAGCCTCGGTCCCTCTCAGATGCGTCTCGCCCACCCCTGCCCACCCCAGTGCCAGGCGCCCGCCTCTTGCATCCAGACGCAGCGCCAGCCCCCTCCCCGGCATCTGTGCTGCCTGACAGTCCCCCTCCTCCCAGATGCCAGGGGGTCTTTCTAAAGCACTCAAAGCCGGCCACCCAGGATAAAGTCCACACTGCTCTCGGGCCCACAGCCTCCTCCATGTCCCAGGGCCAGCACTTCCCTCCCTGAGGCTTTGCTCACCTCTCTCTTTTGCCTCCTCCTCCAGGAAGCCCCCCAGGGGCAGGAATTCCAGGACCAGGCACCTACTCAGTCCTTATCAATGAGAAACAGCCATTTCCTGTGCTTGTGGACTGGGTCAGTCAGGAACGTGACCCACAAGGATGTTGTCCCTGCTCCATGACAGGAAAACGTTCCCTTTTTATGACCTGGTGTTGGACGGCACCCAGCATTCCCTGCCCATCCAAGTTCAAGGGGAGGGGGCCTCGGGTCCACCTCTTGAAGGGGAGAGCAGGACCAGGGACATCCTCCCATTGACACCTCTGGAGCCCAGGTCTGCCAAGCAGGAACCGCTGCGCAACCCAGCCCTCAGCTCGTGTTTGCAAATGAAAGAGGAGCCACTGGTTATGTTGAGCACTTACTGTGTACAGCCAGCAAGTGCTGAGCACTTACTGTGTGCAGGTGCTGAGCACTTACTGTGTGCATGTGTTGAGCACTTACTGTATGTAGTCACCATGCTAGGCAGCAAACGTGTCTTCCTTCATTCTATTCTCACCTTAAGAAAAATCCAGAGCTTGGAAAGGAGCAAAATATCATCGCATGCTCTTTTATTGTCATCCTAGACCAAGCTTTCTCCCCCTCAGTACTGTGGACACGTGGGGCAGGATCCTCCTCTGTGGTGGGGCGTCCTGGGCATTGCAGGTGCTCAGCAGTGTCCCTGGCCTCCACGCACTCCATGCCAGGAGCACCCCCCAGTTGTGACAATCACTAATGTCCCCCGACATGGCCAAACATCCCCGGGGAGCAGAATCGCCTTGGGAAAAACCTCTGTCCCAGGGGACTGACCAGGCAGGGCACCTGGGGGAGGCCCTCCGTGGACTTGCCCCTTCCTCTTACGGAAGTCCCTGCTCGTGGGGTCAGATGCTAACTTGGGATTGACACACTGCAATGACTTCTGCCCCAAGGTCATGGCAACTAGCCCTGCCTGGCCTGGAGCCGGGCACCTCAGAGCTCTCGTCCTCTGGCGTCTGCAGCCGCAGGTCTGGTCCTGCTTCCCTCAGTCAACACCTGAGCAAACCTTGACCCTGGTGGCTGGATGCTTGAATGAGGTTTATGCTGTGAATGTTTTGAAAACTCAACTTTGCCATCTCCCGAAGCCCAGAGGAGAGTGCACGTGGAGCACCTCATTTTACACATTGGGAAACTGAGGCTCGGCGAGGGGAAGGGGCTTGCCCAGGGCCCTCAGTGGAGAGTGTGGGGATCGAGGCCCCAGTCCACGATCTGAGCTGTCTCCTGGATGTTGAGAAATAAGGAAGCAGCTTCCTGTGGCTTTGCTGGGGAGGGAGGGAAGGCTGGGGGCAGAGGGCGGGTGTGGGGGGCCCACGCTTCTGACACCAACAGCGAGTCCAGGGGTTCCCAAGACCAACCTGGGTTTTGATCATTCGCTCAGACTCGTGGAACTCACAGGAAGCTGCTATGGTCACGGGGATGGTTTTTCCAGTGTGAGGAAGCACATTCATGTTGGCCAAGGTAAGAGCATCTGGGCGGTGGTCCAGGAGAGACCCCATCCTGTCCCAGGGGGTTGGGACGTCACAGCTGGAGCCAGATTTGGGGCCCAGAGTTTCACTGGGGCTCCCTCACTGAGCATAATTGGTTGATTGATTGATTGACTGATGCCCACGGGGCTGGGCTCAGTCTCCAGGGTGACTGGTCCTACGTGGCCCAAGGCACTCTCCCCAGATCTCCCTGCTGGTCTTGCTGGTGCAGCCGTCACCGCTCCACACGAAGACACTGCTCTCGAGCGTGACACAGGTCACTCAGGAGACTTCCAGGCCTCTCTCTGGGCAGGACAGAACCCTTTACCAAGCCCCCCACCTGCAGCCGCCTCCCTGGGCTCTCCCAGGGATCAGGACTGAGCGCCATGTGTGGGCCGGGCCAGCTCTTGCCTGGGCCCTACCAAAGCGCAGGGAGGGGCACAGGATGACGGAGAGGAAGCTAAGTCACAGAAAAGGGAGCTACTGGCAGAGGATGGAGCCACAGGCGGCCTTGTGACCCGAGGCAGGGTCTGGCCCACCTGGGAGGCAGGGGCAGGTGGGCTCCAGCCTTGGTTTGGATTCCACTCACCACCTGCCAGCTGAGTGGCAAGTCACTTTGGCCCCCTGTGCCTCAGTTTCCCCATCTGTGAACAGGGCTCAGCAATGTCTCAGTGAGGATTACAGGAGGGTAAACTGAGCCTCAGAGGGCCGGGTAGACAACTTGGAGCCAGGAGGACTCAGCACTCACCTGCAGGACACGGCCCCTCCAGGAGGGGCAGGGGAGGCTCTCCTGGGGAGGTGGGATCGGTGTGGGTCTGATAGGCGTCTCCTTTTTATTGAAGTCATTTTTCTCCTCCGTCAGCTCAGCCAGCCACCCCTCCCTCCTGCCAGCAAGCAGCTGAGAAGAAAACAAGAGCTTAATTGAATCCCACACTGCAGGGCGGGGGGCGCAGAGCAGGGCACTCGCTCCAGCTGGAAGGAGGGGGGGGGCAGCGCGGGGAGGCCACAGGTAGCCCCGGCCTCGCTGGGTCTGACGCAGCCTGTCATTATCATGCTAATGTGATTATATTAATTATCAGCGCTGTATTGTGCCTGCTACCTCGGGCTCTGGGGTGAGCTGTGGATTAAGCCGGACCACACAGGAGCCTTAGAAGCCTCATCGCAGACAGAGCCTCAGCTTGGGGAGCCTGAGACGCAGAGAAGCCATGTGGCTCCCCCAAGGCCACACCACCAAATGGAAAATCGGGGGCTTGAATCCCCCCATGCAGGTCAGCGTCAGATTTCAAGGCCCCTGGAGTGGGGGTACCAGGAGGAGAGCACAAAGCAGCAAAGGCAGGATCCCAGGAAGGGCAAGTGGGCTGCAGCGGGGCCATAGGGAGCTATGGAAGGTTGCAGAGCAGGGACACAGGTTGGATGAGCAGGGAGGCTGGGGCTGTGGCAGCATAGGAGGGAGGCTCACTGTCCGGGCCGAATTCCAAGATCCTTTCTCTTTGTCCCGGACCTCCCGCTGCCTCAATGGCCCTCCTCCCTTCCTTGTTTCAGATTGTCCCCCTTCCACAAAGCCTTCCTTGGTTAATCCCCTGATGGGAGGCTTACTCCCTCACTCCAGCTCTGGGATGCACAAAACCCAGGCCTCAGGGCCTCCCTTCTCCGCTTCTCTTTCCCACATCAGACGGGGGCACCAGGGGGCACAGTGCTACCCCTCCCTCAGACTGGACACAGTGACTTTTGGCTGCCAATGGGAAAAAAATCAAACTGCCTTGAGCAAAGAGGGGCTTTATTGGTCCTCTGAACTGAGATGGCACGTGGATGGACTTCACGCATAGCTGGATCCAGGTGCTACCACGTCACCAGGCATCTGACTTTTCATCTCCTGGGTCTGCTGTCCCCTGTACTGGTTACTCTGCAGAAGGGGCATCATTTTGTAACTTGCACCAAACTCGGTGCCTCCTGCCTGTGGTGACCCCAGATGCCCATGCCCTCCTGAGAGTAGGAAGTCTCGGGGTGGTAGCCAGGCTGGAGACAGTGGCACACGCACATGCACACGCACATACACACATGCCTCCTCCATTGTGCGAGATCCACTGGGCCGAGCACACTGCAGCACCAGGGATGCTGCAGGTGCAAACAACAGATTCATTCTGCTCTGGATCAATGTCAAGGGCAGCACATGGCCCGGCAGGCAGTCTGCAAGGTGTGACTTCGTCTAAGGGGGGCTGCCCTGAGGCGGTGGCTGAGACCCAGGCAGAGCCAGAGACCACACAGCACAGTGCTCCCCAATGGGGATTGGCTCAGAGGGTGTGGGCAGCCGCAGCTCCCACAGACATAGGCACACAGGCACACTCACACACGCTCACATTTACACATGTATACACAGCTCACTATATACGCACAGAGACACATGCAGGCACACGTGCACACTCCTGGTAACACACAGGCACACGGTCATACACACATGCATGTCTATGTTCTTGTGCACACATGCACTCTCACAGATACACACGCGTGTACACAGTCACACTGCCGATGTACATAAGGTCACATGGTCCGTGTGCATCCACCTGGCACACGCATGCACATGCATGCATACAGACCCACAATCAAGCACATGTGCACACACACAGGTGGCCCAGTGATCCGCGACTGGTGGGGAATAGGCGAGAAGGCACTGGTTGCCCTGGCAACACATCCTGGGACCCGACCAGGCCTCACTGGCGCAGCTCATCTGGCGGCTGTCAACAGGCGAGGGGCTGCTCCAGACCCTGACTCCCTGAGCGCAAAGGTTCCTGGGGGCTGCGTGACGGCCCCGTGGAGAGAAGGGGAGAGGAAACAGCTGGGCTGGGGTCAGAGCGGAAGCAGGGCCCTGGCTGTGGAGGCTTGGGTCCAGGGCCTGGTGGATAAACGTCAGCATGATTACATCAGGGGCCTGGGGTCTCCACGTGGTGACGGGAGTGTGCCCACCTCCTGCCTCCATCCCACTGAGAGGAGAAAGGGCTGCTGGATCTCGGAGGCTCCCGCCACCCTCCCTGGAATTCAAGGCAAAACTACTCTCTTGTTATTAAACAGCAAAGCAAGCAGACCTCCACCCCCGCATTCCCGAAACACTTTATTGCACCATAAACAGCATTTATAAACACACACACTTGGGGTGGGGATGTCTTAAAGATTTATCCACAGTCAGCTTCAAACACAAAGATATCAAAGAGTGCAGGGGTCTATAAAACAGGGCCCCCTCCAAGGGGCACAGGAGAGGCCACCAGAATCAGAAAGGGACATGATCTGCAAGCATCTGACTCCACGCAGGGCCCCTCAGCTGTCCCTCCTGGCCTGACAAGCCTTGGCCCCGGATGCTCCCAGGTGCCAGGAAAAAGGTAGCCCCTCCGATGCCAGGCATGGGAAGGCGCAGCTGCCATTCCCCCTCATCTTAAATCTCAGGTATGCAGGCGTCTCGCCAGGTGCAGTTGGGAACCCAGGCCTTCCTCCAATCCCAGGGGAAATCTGCTCCGTCGCCCTCCCCTGGTGGGGTTTGGAAATCTAGAGTCAGGAGGAACAAAGTTTGGCAAAGGGGTGACCGCTGAACAGGGAGGGACACCGCTAGGTCCCACAGAAGCAGCCCAGAGTGGAGACAGGGCTGGCCTGGCCCCTACTGCAAATTGAATCATTTTGGTTCCATTCTGAGCTGGAAAACCCTACAACAGCCATCCAAGGACCAACACAACTAGTAAATACAAGCAGCCACCTCGGAGCATGAAAAGCCACAATCAGGGTCCCCCAGCTTGTTCCCCTGTCATCCCACCCATCCACCATAAACAAAACCTATGTACACGCGTGGAGGGAAAGCCGCTGCCGCGAACCTCTGGGCCTCACCCCACTGGCAAGGGAACCGGATGGCTGGGTGGACGGGGTTGCCTGCTGAGGGCAGCCCCCGGCGCAGAGGGGAATGGGGACACGGGCAGCAGGCTGCTCTCAGGGGCCCCTCCGACCCTGGTCGAGGGTAGCTCCAGACACCCCCGCAGGGACAGCCGCCACACCCGAAATGCCAGTAGAGTCTGCACTGGAGGAGAGCAGCAGCAGGAGAGGTCCCCCGCAGGGGACTGGAGAGCAGCAGTCCTGTCACCGCGTCACCCGCCAAGGCTCCCTCTGTTCTCTCCTCTCCACCTTTCATTCGTAGGGTACGCAGTGGACACGCTCCTCTTACGCCCTCTTGCTCCTGGAGCCGGAGCCTGGGAGGTTAGTGGCTGCCATTGCCCGCCTGACCCTAGGTGGGGCAATGTGGGCAGAACCTGGGCCTGGTGTCAGTCAGTGGGAGACAAGGCTGCGGGGGACAGGGGACACCATTGGTGCAACAGAGGAAAAATCCAGCTCAGCTCCAGGACCTGAGACCTCCCCCTTCACGACCCTGCCTCTGCCGCTCGCAGGGGGTCCCAGACCCCTGAGAAACTCTTTCCAGGACTCTGTATGAAAGGGGCGAGACAGAGGGGCTGACGGGGACGTTCAGCCCTGACAAGTGGCCCTTTCTCTCCCCCAGCAGCCCCTTCCCCTCCTCCTGCAAAAAAAATTAATTCAAGGGCCGGCCCGGTGGCGCACTCGGTAGAGTGCGGCGTTTGGGAGCGCAGCTGCGCTCCCGTCGAGGGTTCGGATCCCATATAGAGACCAGTCCGCTCACTGGTTGAGTGCGGTGTGGGCGCGACACCGAGGGTTGTGATCCCGTTACCGGTCACGAAAAAAAAAAAAAGAAATTTTTAGCTTCACTTTACAGATAAGCAAAAGGAGGCATGAAAAGAATAAGACCTACTGCATAACCTCTTGTAAAGACTGAATGAGATAACAAATGTTATTATTCTCAACATCTCTTCCAATCACACCTCCATGCCTGCTCTTCCTCCCCTTAGCCCCAGTCCTGAGGTCCACTCACGTTCCCTTCTCTCTCGTCTACCTCTTTCTCTCTTCCCACAGGTGGGCCTGGTCCAGCCACTAGGGTTCCTGCCATGGCCGATTCCTAGACTCCCCACCTCCACTTCCACCCCCTCCAATGTACCTTGCATGTGGTAGCCAACGGGCTACCCTATCACAACCCTGCCATGTCTCCCCAGTGCCCTTAGGATAAAATCCAACCTCCTCTGAAAGGCCTATAATATCCTGAGAGATCCAGCCCCTGGGAACCTTTCTGGGACCACAGACCCTTCTCCTTGATCTCTGTCCTTTAGAAGGTATCTCTGCAATTCAGCACCTCTGGTCCTCTGCACTTGCAGTTCCCCCTACCTGGATCACCCCTTTTTAAAGCTAACTCCTTCTGCTTATCTTCCCAGTCTCACCAGAGTGGCCAAGGCAAGGGGGTTAGACTTTGCCCTCAGGGCCTCCCAGCAGCCCTCCTTGAATTCGCCCCCTCCCCATTAGGAACGTCCTCTGGAGTCTCACTGATCGTGGCTTTCCCATTACTGCCCTGATAACTCTGGCCTCTGTGCTTCCCTTCTTATAGCATGAAAAATAATTCTCCAGCCACCATCGGCCACCCAGGAAACCCCGGCGTCACCTGAGTCCAAACCCACCTTCCCAGCCCGGCCCGCCCCCGGCGACTGACCTCCGGGTGAGGACCCGGGTGTGGAGGGGAGACGGGGGCCCTTCAGGGCAGCGGCAGGAGGGCGGCCAGGGGCAGCTCCGTCTCCCCGAGCAGCGCATCCCGCTTGAGGCTACTGCCCTTGTTCACCACCTTGACCCTGAGCGCCAGCTTGCGGACGCTGGCGGGCCCCAGGCCGTCGAAAAAGAAGTCCTCGTTGAAGACGGGGTGGCGGCTGTGCTTGACAATGGTGCTGCGCTGCTTCTGCAGCTTGCCGGGCACCAGGCACAGGCCCACGCAGCAGTTGACACTGCGGGAGTCGCACAGCCGGTCGTACAGGCCCTCGGCGGCCAGCAGGCGCACCCGCAGGCGGGCCTGGGCCGCCTCGTACTCGGCCAGCAGCCGCACGCTGCCCCGCGGGCCCACCCGGACCGTGTGCTCCCCGCGGGGCGCCTG